TTTCAGCTAGAAACCTATTACGGCTAAAACACACTGAGTCCACTTCAGCGGGTGGTGTACCTCCTGGTACATACTTCTCTAATAAGCAAAGTGGATCGTGGGAGCAACCCCTTGGCTGTTGTGGTCGGCTTCGGCAGACCTGCCATCGGGGCATCGTGGTTGAGTGGGTAAGTGATCCTGCGACGCCCGGACGGATCAAGATAGACGGGAGAGGTTCCGTTGGATTTAAATAGCTAGTGCTGGTTTTTCTAGCCTACAAACGAACTATATGAATGCAAGTGGTATGCGGAAATGGACAATAGACTTTTTTGGCTTTGGGATGCTGAACTCTAAAATTGCCAAAAAAAATTTTTTATTCACATATTAATTTATAAATTACCACACAATATCCATCCCAAGTGAATAAAATGAAAAAACAATTTATCTGAAAAATGGCAACATTATGACACGTAAAGAATTAATTTCCGAATAAAAACTCGTAACTGCCGTGACGTCGGCTGTTATTGCTTGTCTATTCACAAACTTTATTGCCTTCAGAATATTTCGATTTATGGCGATACTTTGACCCAAGGGCTCGTTCGTGGTTAGCGAATATAACTCCATATTAAATTCTACCTTATAAATTACTTTTTGTTTTGTTCAAAATTAATTTTAGACTGGTTTTTTTTATTACTTTGCGTAGTTTCAAGGACCTATGAAGTGTTTTTTGAGAATTGTGAAGTTCGGAAGTTTTCTGATAATTAATTTCATAATACGGTCGCAAATCTATATAAATATTATAAATGTGAAAGTTTGTGAGTATGTATGGATGTTTGTCACTCTTTCACGCCAGAACGGCTGAACGGAACTGGATGAAATTTGGCACAGAGATAGATTTTAGTCTAGAATAACACATAGGCTATTTTTTATCCCGAAAAAATATACGGTTCCCGAGGGATAGATTTGTTTTTATTTTCCTAGAGTTAAACCCGAGCGAAGCAAGTGTGAGCCGCTAGTATTTTGATATTTTGAGATAAATAAATTTCTTCGCGATATTATTCAGATTTTTTGTTACCGACGTTTCCAGTGCTTTACAGGAAATGTAGTCATGGGGGATCTAAGGTTTTCGATATCCTAAAAGTCATAGTAAAATATTACAGATGGCATCTACACACAAAAATATTCAATAGTATAGACAGAAAGTAGACAGAAGTATCTACGGTTTTAAAAAGTTGTAAATATAATTCTAATTTTAATTGCCTCAGTTATTAAATAAAACTATCTTTTCGGATTATTTTGCGGATTTATTTTGATTTTTGGTTTCCGACGTTTCGAATGCTTTACAGCATCCATGGTCACGGGAGAGACTGAGGTGTTACATGTCTTAAAGATATAGTTGTTACAGACAGCCTACCCACAATTAACAAAATGAAAATTGCACTAATTACATTACAATATTTTTTAACTTTAAAGATTTTTATAATTTTAATTATAATTGAATATGGAAAATTATTTATTTAATTTTTGCTATTATTTTTATAATTATTACAATTTTAAAAATATTAATTAGTAATCTATATTTAATGTTGCCATTATTATATTGTATGGCGGATCTGAAAGTTGGCCCACAAACGGATCTGAAAGTTGGCCCACAAAGAGAACGGATGAAAGACGCATACATGTAGCTGAAATGCGAATGTTGAGATGGATGTGTGGTGTGACTAGAATGGATAAGGTGAGGAATGAATACATTAGAGGGAGCCTGAAAGTTGCGCCAGTGGATGAAAAGTTGAGAAGCAATAGGTTATCGTGGTATGGACATGTGATGCGGAGGGAAGAGCAAAGTGTGGTGAAAAGAGTTTTGTGTATGGAAGTTAACGGGGACAAGAGAAGAGGACGACCAAAGAAAAGATGGATGGACTGTGTAGAAGAAGATATGATTAGAAAGGGAGTAAGCAGTGAAATGACGAATAATAGAGTAGAATGGAAGAATAAAACATATTGCGCCGACCCCAAATAAAAATTGGGACAAGGGCAGGAAGAAGAAGAAGAAGAAGAAGATTATTATATTGTATGGAAATAGTTCAAAACCTTGAAAATGATATAGAATACTTTTTATCTCGGAAATCATCCCTTAAGGGGGTGAAAAGAGAATGAAAGTTTGTATGGGGAATCAATAATTTCAAGTAAGGGATAAATGATATGTATGATGAACACCTATATATACAGATATATAGTCGATACTAACGATTTAAACTTACCTACTCAATGAACTCGAATGAAGTGAGAGTCAGTCGCTAGTTGTATCTAAACTTAAAACTTTAAGTTTTTGAATCATAAGTAATCCAGTTCTATCAATTCTAATTTAACTCTAATCAGTAATGATGCACGTCGATAAGCCAGCGTTTATTGACGCAGCTCACGTTGATTAATTGGTTAGCTTAATACAATATTATCTCGATTACTTAACATATTGATTTCTGATTTAACATATGAATGTTTAAAATTAACATTTACATTAATAACAGCATTTCCATTCTCATAAGCATACGCTAAATGAGACAGAGGTTTGATTCGACGATACGTTTGGCTCAGTTGATAGTGACCCCACTTGATGTGCCAGCGGTCGTGGGTTCGAGTCCCGCTGGGGGCATTCATTTGTGTGATGACGAAGGTTTGTACTCCAGTCATGGGTGTTTATATTTATAATATGTATGTATTTAAAGTTATATATGTGTAGTGTATCAACTATCTGGTATCCATAACACAAGCCTCGTAGCTTACCATGGCGCTGTATGTTAATGTCCCAACATTTATTATTATATATTTATTATATAGTTGTTTAACGAATATCGCTTAAAAGCTTTATTTACAACTAGTGGCTTACCCTCACTCCGCTCATATGCGTTTCTAAGTACGTTTTAAATAAATATGGATAGTTATTGCAAATGTACCTTGGGAGAAATGCTATTGCAGATTTTTTTGTAGGCCTTATTAAGACATACAATTTTCTAGTAAGTTTTGATGTATCTCTTAAAATTTAGTCAGCGTTAGATATGTAAATTTCTAAAAACGACTCGATAGAATCAGTTATTGTGTTTTCCCGTTGGAGTGAAGGATTATTCTATAGTGAAAGGTGTTCCAAATATTTACCCGAGTAATAAGTTATCACTACACAAAATTTAATTAAAATCGATTCAGTACTTTTTGTGTGAAACCCGTACATCGATTTCGCTAGGTTACTATTTTATTATATGTATAGATAAAAGAAATTACAAATATAATATACTCAAATATATATATATATATATATATATATATATATATATATATATATATAACAAATGTACACTTAATTGTTGAATCTGTACATTAATATATTTTTTTGGAAAATCTTATTGCAATAGTTATTATTATAGATAGGTACAGAGGCCGAATCTATAGTTTCTAGAATTTTTGTCTGTCTGTCTGGGAACGCATCGCGAAAAACCAACTGGGCACATTTCGATGAAATTTGGTATGATGGTAGCTGGTTATCTGGGTCTATATATAGGATACTATTTAGCACGTAAAAATATCTCATCTCTGAGAAATCTATACTAACCGTTAAATAAAGCTAATTTGCTACATTATAATAGTTGAATTATATACACTAAACCTTGTTATTTTGTTAGAAAGATAGATTTTTCTAATATTACTACTTTATACGAGTATGTTTACTGCACTGTTTTAACTTAACCGTTCGACTTCGTAACATCGTAAATACAATGTTTAACTTCAATTCAGTCGAACAATCAAGTCGTTCGATCAACGTCGCCTGAATATAGAAAGCACCTATATGTATAGAATATAAATCATCTCGCCACCTACCTGTTTCAAAGGAATCGTGTCTTTTCAATAAACTTTAGTTTATTTAATTAAATTGTATAGGTACTTTTCAACAGTTAGTATGGAGTAGACAGAATCTATTTTATATGATATATAGGTTTATAGCCTTCCCTAATAAACGGGCTATCTAATGCAAAAAGAATTTTTCAAATCCGATTAGTAGTTTCTGAGATTAGCGCGTTCATTCAAACAAACAAACTCTGCCTCTTATACACTATAATATTCGTATAGATAATATTATAATTATATATACAAACGTGAGATAAAATAAGAAATCTAAATGATTTCGTAAGTAAAAAATTAGAAAATCTTTAAGTTATAACATTTTAAATCAAACATTTGTACAAAATTAATTATTTTCTGTTGAAAAGCAAAAATATTTACGTTGTCGTTAGAACAAGTTGAGATATTATTTATATCAATGACCTTTCAAACGTGAAAATGTACCGACAACTTTCATTCCACAACCGATCTATTTCATAAAGACAACTAAACTATCCAAACTCCAAACGGATCTCCGTATTAAATTTTAAAGTAACGACTCGAATCTGCGGGCACATCGAAATTCCAAAAGTACACTACGTCCTCATAAAGAGTTAATATTTCAACAGAGCAGACTAAGAGAGCAGTAGTCACAGTGGAAGTTTTAATTTGCTTAAAGTTGTTACAACTTGGAACGGGTCCCTCGTTGGGCGCCAAATTAGGTACAGACACTGTAACAGTATAAAAGTAAGAAGATGTTAGCCTACTGATAGTTTTAATTCATGCCCCATGTGGAAACTTTTTTACGTTTTCCATCTGATTTTGCATGTACAGCTTTAAAGTTTTTTCTTTTCAACAGGATAAGGTGGAACGTTTGTAGCGAAGGCACATTAAAATTCATGATCGGTTGTCTCTTACATTTCTCTAGTTGAAATTTAAGAGTCTGTTTCAAAGAGTCGGGATGATTTTCGATTCTTTTTTACCTGTCTGTGACTGTACAGTGTACAGATATGTTAAAGCCAGACATTGTTAAGCTATACATTTAAATAAAGCACGCGTGTTCAAGCTTAGAAATCATTTACAATTATCTTTCCAAAAAGGAGTTGTCTGCTACAGAAATATGTATGACTACCATATTTTAGATTCACTTACCGTATTTTGACTTCTTTGGACTGCCAATCACTATGTTTATCGAAGCTGATAAGGATGGCTGCGATTTCCTGTAACAATATAAGAATATGTTATCCAAATGCCTTTAAAATGAACCCAAATCTGTAAGCTATTTAAAAATTCATGTCATAAATAAATGAAAAAGTATATTAAAAAAAAGAAAACGTGTTTTTAATAAATTATAATGTTACATGCAATAATTTACTTCCCTCATCTCCATCCACTACGTGACAGGAAAATTTAGAAGTTATTCAAGCAACAAAAAAATTTTTTTTCAAAAATTGGTTCAGTAGCAATATTATATTCAGCTACAGTAATAGAAAAATATAAGCTTATAAACCTAATTTACATTTTCTAACATAAAATACTCCTATTCTATACCTAATATTAAGACGGACTCAGTAAAAAATGCAAAAACTTTAAGACAAACTTAATTTCTTCGACTAGTTTTCGAGTAGTTTCTTTGAGAACTGATAGCAGAATTTAACTTTATACCTCTTTAGTTAAATGGTGAAAAAAATATTTAATTTTGACTTTTTTTTTGATACTTTATTATATTTATTATATAGAAGTTGTCCAAAATATGTACCTATATATTAGCGACTATAAAATCCGCAATAAAGTTGAAAATAAACTTAATTTTCGTTGCCATTTTAAAATGAAGACATCAAAATTATATTTAAATTTGGTAAGCATCAAAACCGTTTGTACACATCACGAGGCGCTGATTCGTATAAATGCTCAATTTTCGCGAACGTTTGATGTACAACCCCGATTCTACCACACTATTTCAATAAGCAATATGACTTTGTAATGAAATGGTTTTCAAACCGTTCCTTAACAGTCTGTTTTGAGTCTTTTATTGTATACCCGCACATTTTCAGAATGATTTTTTTTAGTTTATCATACCGTCTTTTTTTCCCTATACAAACTTTCATCCCTATTTTAAAGGAGGTTTTTAAGGAGTGATTTCCGGGAAACTATTTTTTTACCAAAATTCATCTAAATCAGTTTAGTAATTCCAGAGATTACTACCTACAAAGAAACTAACAAACTTACCTACAAACTTTACCTCTTTATAATAATTATAGAAAATTATAATAAATGTTAAAATTTGAATAGATACATATATATATTATGGTTTGAATGAATTTATATGTTAATGTATACATTATTTTTATTATTATTTATATGTTAATGTATACATGTAGTTGGTATACCAACTACATCAATAAAATGCGAAGTTTGAAAAAAATAATATTAAATCTCATCTACTTTACAAAAGATAAAAATATATCACTAGCGTTTCCCCGAGGCTTTAGCCGTGTATAATATGTATGATTGCTATTAAGGGTAGTAAAGTGACGTTAGCCTAAGAAATAGATTTAAAAAAATAATAAAATGCAAATCGAACCACTAGTTTCAGAGATAACAACAAACAAAAAACAAACTCTAACTTTATACACATATTGATAACAATAAATAAGAAGTAACTATAACATAATATTTCATTTGCCATTATGAAATAAAGCTATAACATAACTAAACAAACTGATTTATTCGTATTAAAAGCGCAAAATCCTATCTTAATAGCTTACTTAAACTTTGTTGTATCAAAGTTTAAGGAACCCAAGCAACGAATGTGTACAAATTTCCTTAGTAAATTTATAAACACTTTGGGACTACTGCCCTTATTTATGGCCCGCTGTAATCTGGAGCATAGTTAAGTAGCTTTCGCTGCACCAGGATATGTCAGCGTTTGTTACAATCGGCCTGCTTGAGGATGTTTTGAAACGACCAATACGTAGAAGTTTTGTGTAAAAATTTAACATTATACATACATACATTCATATGTACATACATTTTAGATTAAACGACATGTTTACTGTGCCAGCGGTCGCGGGTTCGAGTCCCGCTGGGGGCATTCATTTGTGTGATGACGAAGGTTTGTACTCCAGTCACGGGTGTTTATATTTATAATATGTATGTATTTAAAGTTATATATGTGTAGTCTATCAACTATCTGGTATCCATAACACAAGCCTTGTAGCTTACCATGGAACTAGATGACGCTGTGTGTTAATGTCCCAAAATATTTATTTATTTATATTACATATTTATATATCTATGTATATATTTCTAATAATTTATTCTCATTGCGAATAATATAAATGTGTAAAATTTTATGATTGCTACACTCCAGTCCACAGTCTATCCGGGTACTACATTTTATCCAAATCCGTCCAGCTGTTTTAGCGTGTATTAGTAACATACCAACATACACACCAGATAACAGTATAATTTGATACTGTAGTACCTATTTGATGATATCAGCCAGAAATTGGATAGTGATTCCCTTTAATGGTTTATTTCAATCGTTTGAATAGTTCCATACATTACATTTGATCAAAAGATTTTCTTTTATTTTTGTCACTTCTTCTCTGCCTTTTACTGACACTATAGCACAGCAAGAATTTAAAAAATCAAATCATGTGAATTGGACCAGGAATTCTTGAATTAAGCACACGAAATAACAGACGTAAATACATTTTTTTATAGTATATAAGAAAGGGTTAGACCTTGATCATCGTATCTTAGTTATGAATATTTAAAAAAAAACATAGTTGAATCTCCCATTCGAGCTACAACAAATTAGCGCCTCGCCTAAATAAAATTAAATTAAAAATGTAAAAAAACCGACCATCTTGGACCGATTTTCATCAAACATGGCTAAGAACACTCCCGACTAATTCACCTTTAAAACAAAAAAAAAACATTATCAAAATCGTTTCATCCGTTCGGTAGCTACGATGGCATATACAGACACACACAGACACGTCAAACTTATAACACCCCGACGTTTTTGTGTCGGGGGTTAAAATTGACAATAAAACGTGTAAAGTAGTATATAACTAGAAAAAAATGTATATCATAATAAAGATTGACATCTATACATATAATAAAATTGTAACTAAGCCGAATCTGTACATTAAATATTTTTTGGAAAATGTAATTGAAATAGACATTAATATCGATACAGAGGCCGAATCTATAGTTTTTTAGAATTTATGTCTGTCTCTCTGTCTGTCTGTCTGTTACCGCATCACGAGAAAACCACTGGACAGATTTTGATGAAATTTGGTATGATGATAACTGGTTATCTGGGTCAACATATAGAACACTTTTTACCGCGGGATGATATCTCATTTCTGAGATAAAATATAAAAACTGCATTGTAAGAGTATACTAATATGTAAAACCTAAGAATTTGGTTTTTGGTCATCTAAAAGCGGGCGGAGCCGCGGGCAATGCTAGTTATACTATATAATTTAAATAAAAAATAACGCCGTCCCGTAATATTACACCTCAATCATTCCGCCAGATGTGACGTGTACTTGTGTATGACAAATAATGTTGGTTACGAATTCAACTCAATTTGTCCCGTACCATTTTCTGTAATTTGCTATAAAATATTTTTTATTTTGCGTTTGAGCCACTTATTTCCATTTGTTTTTCCTTATTTTAAGAGCGTGAATGAATAATTATGAAAGACTAGCATTGCCCGCGGCTCCGCCCGCGTTTTGATGACCAAAAACCAAATTGTTAAGTTTTACATATTAGTATACACTTATATTGCAGTTTTTGTATTTTTTCTCAGAAATGAGATATTTTGAGTATCCTATATATTGACCCGGATAACCAGCTATCACCATACCAAATGTCATCAAAATTCCTCCAGTGGTTTTTCCGTGATGCGGTAACAGACAGACAGACAAAAATTCTAAAAACTATAGATTCGGCCTCCGTATCGCTAATAATGTTTATTTCAATAAGATTTTCCAAAAAATATTTTATGTACAGATTCGGCTTAGTTACAACTTTATTATATGTATAGATTATGTCTTAAGAATTCAATAAATAAAGCAAGCATAAAGCAAGGCAATCGTAGCCCAGTGGTGACGCGCTCGCTTGGGAAATCGAACGAGGCGAGTTCAAATCTCATATTTGATTGATTTGATGTACGAATCATTTCCAAAATAATTACCACTTGTCTTACGGTGAAGGAAAACATGGTAATAAAACCTGCATGTCTGAGCGAATCTAGCAAGTTTTCGAAAGGCATGTGAAGTCCGCCAACCCGCACTTGGCCAGCGTGGTGGACTATGGCCTAATCACCCTCATATTGAAGGGAGGCCCGTGCCCAGCAGTGGGACGTAAAAAAAGGCTGCACACATACATACATACATACATAATTTGCAATCAAACACTATGATACAGCATTGAAAACGGAGTTTAACATTAAACGTATAATAGTAACCTGTAATAATAATACAGAACTGAATAGACAGTATTCAAATGTTTTTTCTTAAACGTAGGAGTGAATGATGAATTAACGATTTTCATAATTGTACCACAGCAACGCGTGGCCGGGCTTGCTAGTCTATACATATAATAAAATTCTTACTAAGCCGAATCTGTACATTAAATATTTTTTTGGAAAATCTTATTGAAATGGACATTATTATCGATACAGAGGCCGAATTTACAGTTTTTAGAATTTTGTCTGTCTGTCTGTGACCGCATTACAGACAAAACCACCGTAGGGATTTTGATGAATTTTGGTATGATGATAGCAGGTTATTCGGGTCAACATATAGGATACTTTTTACTGCAGGAAAATATCTCATTTCTGACCAATCTATACTAAACGTAAAAACGCAAGCAGGGACTTACCCGAGCGGAGCAAGGGTGATTCACTAGTATATAAAATATCGTAGTTGTACATACAATCTAGCGAGATGTAGGAGTCAAATTTTATAGTATTATAGCTTATTTATACAAATAAGTACATAACCTTCCTTTATTTCCTGACGTATTAAGTTTGCATGTCAAATCGTTACGAATTTTACCCAAACCGTGATTATTTTTCATGGCAATATATAATTTTTAAATATGCGATAAACACGCATAATATGTTTCGAGTGAATTTTGTTTTCGATAACTTCACAGCAAAAACTTACGTTAACTACCTACTTTGATATAACTTCTA